GGCGAAAGGAGTTCCTCTGACAGCTCCACACGATTTATAAAACAACAAATTTGCATTTTGAAGCTTCATTTTTCTTCCCCTCTGCATTTCAAAGTCCATTACAAACAAGCAAGTTGCTTTTCTTTGTTGTTGTTTTGTTTGTTTTTGTTTTTTTTTTCCTCCCCTCTCTTCACCTTTCTCACTTCCCATGTACTACTCTTCTCCTCGCTCTCTGTACTGCCCACCCTTCTCTTTACCATACACTATCTGACTAGGGATCCACCTCAATTTCTGCACTTCATCTTCCTCTTAAGGGTGATTCCCACATCACCAAATCCTCTCTCGAGGAGCTTATCATTCCTACTATTTTCTGGAGCACTTTTAACCTGATAGCCACCTTTAATCACACACAGCGACAAACACCCCTACAGGTTGCAGTCTGCTTCTCTCTACACCAGAGCTCTGAATAATCACAACAAATATGTCCCACATTTACGAAGGCAAACAGCAAACCCTTTGCTCCTGCATACCAAGGAGGAGACAGAGTACATCACTGCTGCTTCGAATCACCACAGATTTACTGGACAGGTAGCCAAAAACACACCCCAGTTGTCTTCTCTAACCATGTAATGGGGGTGCCCAACCCTCCCTGCTCAGCAGGAGTTGTGGATTGTTTGTTTTAAAAGCTAGGACTTTTACAAGTAGGATAGCCAAAGAAAGGAAAGAGCAGAAGAAAAAACAGCCACCTAACCATCAATCCCCAAACTTTGCTTCCACTGAATTCAGGACAGCCCTCAGGGTTGGGTCATCTAGTTTGAAGCCCCAAAAAAGCATTCAATAAATGCAGCTCATGACTATTTTGCCATTCAGTAATTCCTCTTCTCATATCTTGTCTTCTCACCAAGAGAGAGACTCTGTACTAGAGCAAACCAGGGAGTTTCTAGAGCCCAAGAACATACTTTCTCAGGTAGAAAAAATACGGGGAAGGCAGCAGAACCTTGCCGTACATCACCCATTGTTGTGTACTGGGTAACTGCAATTATAAAAAAAAAAGACAACACAAAAGAGCACATCTGCCCCAAGGCAAGCAAAGGGATAACCATCTGTTTGACCTTTAATCGACGCCAACTCAAATTGCTCCATCATGTCCAGAGCCACACACTGAACCACTTGCAGAAAGGAAGTTATTTATCCCACTGATCCCCTGTAAACTTCACATTTTCTGTGTAATGTGAAAACACTGTCAAAACACCATTTATTTACTTCCTAACTTAGAGGTAGTTAAAAGGGCCTTCCCCGAGCAAAAGAAAAAGCAAAGACGCAACTCTTTTTCTGTCACAGAGCGGGCAAGTTCCTCGCTGCTGGAATGTGAGACCCCGAACTTCTCTGGAATATCTCCTGTGCAGTGACACAAAACAGTACAGGAAGGAATAACTGTTTGACCTCTCCTTTTACTGACAATAAGCACAACAAACATATGGGATGCATCTCTGTAGTGAGAAGAGCAGGCAAATTATTTATTTAATGTTATCAGGGGGCCGGAAGCATTTTATGACTAAGAAGGTCCCCTACAAATTCAGGCTTTCATGAAAATGTTATTTTATCACCATGGAAAGAAATATATTTAGAGATGTGCTGACCTGAAGCTTATGAAAAGTATCATGTTGCAATCATCTCCAGGACATTAGAAATCAAACAAAAGGTACCTACAGTTTTAGGAGAGATTCAAAAATTTAACTTTTTCAGAATAAAATTCACTTCAAGATGATGATTATTATTATTTGTAGAGAAGCACACAGACTTTGGTTAGAAATACATATTTCTCTGACAAGTAGCCCAAGGCTCTATGGCAGTAATGCTAGCACATTTGACAACACGCTTTGTCAGCTTTTCATACCATGCCTATTCACTTCAGAGACCTTCACCCATCCTTTTCCAGTAATTGATACTGATCCATCATCAGTAAACATGGGAAATTTTTTCCTGATCTTAGACAGGTACCATGATGATATAGCCTATGCTGGGTAGCGTGTCAAATCCATGTATTCTGATGGATAGGTTATCACCCAGAGTCACTTCAAGTCTCTGGCAGTGTTTCTGAATACCCTGCATAGATTTTAGTGATCCCATTCACCCTATTACTTTGAATTTTTCTTTAGGTTTCTTAGGTCTCAAAAAAATTTAACATATGACAATGAAGGTGTGGTGATTTTTTTTGTTCATTTGTTTTTAAGAGATCAAATTCTAGTTTTACCATCTACTCCTAAAGCTACTCATTGTTAACGAAAAACAAATCGTCATCAAAATTCCTTGCATTAGCACCAATATCTTTCATGGATCTTCAGTAGAGATGCTGTTTTTCAACAGAGCCAGATTCAGGCCTAGTTTGTGTTAACAACTTCAGGAAAAGAAAACAGAAACTACTTAAACCTATCCAAGCTTAAGCTTTCTTCCTGACAAGTTGTGACTGTGCAGAAATTCATTTTAATGCTTTGGTGCTACTGCCATAATTAAATATCACAGATATTCACTCAGAGCTACAGCAATAAGCGTAGTTTTCATCATGTCAAAAATACAATGAACATCATACGTCTCACTCTCATCTCATGACTGCAGCATGACCAAAATAAATATATATTTTTATTTTATTTTATTTTTTAAACTAGGCACTGTTTCCTTGGGAAATAACTGGAATTTCAAGCCTTAGCACTATTTATGTATGCTACGATTTCTTATGCATGGCCTCTATCGCATGAAAAGCCTACATCAAATATGACTGCTTTCTGAAGATTGTGTGGGTTTCAAAAAATCGTTTTGCACATTCCAGAACCAGTAGGTACCCACACTGAGTTATGAATAACTCCTAACGTGCCTCAAAGCCAGCAAGCCTCTGGCACTACTTCACAATATGCCTGGCAAGAGACAGTTTTCCCATAACTGTCTCATTAGACACGAGAAGTATTTTGGAAAAAGGTATTCTACCTACTAAGCGATCTCTTTTAAGAAAGGATCACCAAAAACTCTCTTCCTTTATAGATATGCAAACAGATTTCCTCATTAGAAAAGGCTGATTTAATCACATTTATCTGTTTTTCTCCAAAGCTTCCCATATCAGCCACACTTCCAAGTGGAACTAGTACCAACTAGTATTGACTGAAAACAGGCTGTCAATGGCAGGAAAAGCTGCAAGCTTTTACATTTTGCAAGGCTTGTGCACTCAGTGGGCCCCAGAAAAGTTTACACTGGAAAGAGCAAAAGAATTGCCTGCTTCAGGGTAAAGGCAGGAGAGCCTTCCAAGCTATGGAAAAGCACCCAATTTCACTATCAAGCATTATATGTAATTCCACAAAAAGCAGTCTGCCATTGTTCCCATGCTCCTGGAACTACTGGCTTTTACTTTTCATTTGCCTGTTAGTATTCACGTAGCTCAGGAACACTAGAGCTCAAAGACCACAAATATTCTGTTCTGGTTGCACTTGTTCACGTCTATACAGTTTGAAAGCTACTTCACTTATTTTCTATTCCCATTTGGAAAGGGAATCTGCATCAGATTCACCAACAAACAAGCTGGGGACATATACTGTACACCATCCTCATTCCTTACACAGGCCTCTTGCAAATAACCTACACCTTCATGTCCTTTACACATAAACACTTTCTGAAGATTTATTTTTAACTAACATACCTCAGTGGCACTAACAGTGTGAGGCTTTCTCATTTGAAGTGCTAAAATCAGTATTACTTGACCCTAAAAAGCAAGGTCCAACCCCAATTTTTCAGAGGACAGAGGAACAGAAAGGATCTGTAGTTTTAGTTCACTCTTAAATCTAGTTTACGAGCTCTGAAAGCACATCTATATTTGTGCCGTGTTCTCGTTTGGCAGATAAATGATGAAATCGCTCAGTTTTCTTGATGCCTTCAGCTGATGGTAGGCAGATTTTACATAGCTTTCTTTATCTGATTTCTACTTAAAAAAAAAAAAAAAAATACATCCAGAAATGAATGAGAGCATTAGCCTCCACACATTCTATACTTTATGCTATTTACTACTGGATAGCCCTGGAATATTTGCAGCTGGCTGTACTGTGTTTTGTACAATGTAGCTCTTTATCACAGTTTTTATCAAAGAACTGTGGTTTAGCACAGAATAAGGCAGTGCTGTATTGAAGTTGTAATGTGGCTCAGGTTACCAGATTGCGTTTTTGATAATTTGGTATTAAAGTGCTCAACACAAAATAAAAATCAATGTTTAAGAACTGAAAGTAAGAAAAGCTCTAGTTAGAGATTGAATAAGCCGTAACATTATGGAGATTTTGCCTTAGTTTCTATATTAAATCGAGTTGCTTTGAATAAATACAAGTGAATCTCCCTATTATTTACTTTCTGAGGCAAGTTTTACACTAAACTTTTGCTAGCAGAAAGTCAGGGGCACGAGGACATGGGATTTGCAACCCACACAGCTGTGTTGGCAAAAGGCCCTAGCGTAGATGTGGTTTTACTGGCAAAATGGAACTTTTGCCAACATAGCTAATTTCTCTCTTGGGAGTTAGTTTTGCCAGTACAGCTGTGTACAGACTGGGGACATTTCAGTGGTGTTACATACTTTTACAGCTCTACTGTCACTGACTTTCAAGCGTAGGCATGCTTTTGCTCTCAACATAACAGCGGTTTGCCAATCTGGGGAGAGCAAGGGGTTGTTGTCTGAGAGCATAGCCATGACCACCTAACAGAAGAAAAAAAAAAAAAAAAAAAAAGAAAACACAGAGAAATTTACAAATTTACCTAGTCCCTTCAATACTGCTTCCTGAAGTTCTTCCTGAAGTTAGTACTAGGACTCTTCTTAATACATTCCTTCGCATATCTCACACAACACCTTTTACCACCACAGCTGGTTATTCTGTTTGTTGAAGTGGAGGTGTGTATGTTAGCACATCATTGCAAAGCTTCTCCCTAAAAGATACTACAGATCTTTCCTTTCTTTCTGCTTTGTTCTTTTTGCTACTACCTCCCCCCCATCTCACCTTCTTTCCTTTTTGCAGAAGCCTTCTCTCAACATCTTCACATCTTTTCTGACCTTTCTTCCCCACTCTGATGGCTTACTGAAAGCATATCACAAGACACAAAACCAAACAGGAAGAAGTTGAGCTGCCACTCTGCCTCCCTTCTCTAGTGATTTCAGGTGTGTTACCTTTCCATACTCTCCACCAAACTTTTGAGCATCTGGTCTCTTCTCAGGTTTGCAGCTGACACGCCTGCTAATAATTGCTATCAGCTGCAGTTCCTCCCCTCTTTATGGTCTTTGCCCAGCTGCTCGTTGCTCATTCTGAAGGACTTTTTTTAGCATGCTACTTCTGATATACTGCTGAAGTTGCTCTTTAAAGTGTTGAACTACTACCACCTACATCCACTTATCAATTTTTCTGTTTTTCTCAAGTATTATTGCCTCCTGTCTGTAGTTCTCTTTCAAACTGGGATCTCTCCTTTCTGCGTGGGAGACAATTTCTGCTGCTGCACCAGATACCAGACAAGGCTGCTCCCACTGCACATTTAAGAAGCTGTTCTGCTCTGGTCAGAGGGCAGCTTCTGTGGTTAGACGCTACAGAACACAACTGCCTCTTCATCAGTAAAATTTGGATGATATTACTCAAATTCAGTTCATGCAGAGCAGTTTCTTAATTTTCTTTAGTAACTCCTTTGCCCTTAATTCACAATCAAAAACAATAATCAAAAAAAGTGCATGGTACTATTCCTGCTAGTGAGGGAAAAAGACCAAATCAAAGTCAGGGATTCATTTACATCTAAATAAAACAAAAAAGTAGGAACTTTATATTTTCTATCACTGCTGAGACTAGTGTCAAGTGAAAATGGGAAACGTACACAGATAAAACAAAATTTCAGTATCTCAGCAAAGATACTCTGCAAAGTTGAAGTTTATATAATAAGGCAAATTCATTTAAAATATATTTTTATAATTTTTAAATCTATAATAGAGCAAATAAGGGACTGCTTTGTCAGTAGTTTTTCAGCACAGGAAACTAATGCCATGATTACTAACGTCTTAAAACAATCAAATGCAACAAATTGCTACCAGGTTTCTTAATAAAGAATAAGTCTTGAGTGAGATTTCTTTCAGAAGTAGATTATGTATATCAGTATATCAACTAATTCATAAAAGGTGATTCAGAAAAAAAAAAAAATCCTTTTCCTCCTGAAGGTAAAATACGTATGTAGTCGTAGGAGGTAAAATTAAACACCAGAATATCCCATAAAAAGACACATCCTGATAGATGGAGGCTTCCAACCAACCCCCAGGACCTTATACTGGGGTGCTAGAAAGCACCCTTCTTTGATATTCACTTACTGTCTGCTGCCTGGTAGCTCCCTGCACAGATGACCATTACTTTGAAGATTATTTTTTGAGGTGACTAACTTTCCTTAATCACTATCCAGAAAACATAGATTTAGGGTTACAGATTCTACCTCAAAGATCAGGCACCTGTAGATTTGTTGCTGCCATGAAATTTCAAGTGTCTGGGTCTCTAGTGGATCTTTCCAGTGTCTGTATTATTTGATTTGGGTTTACAATTATTCACATATCTGCCTCTCCCAAATTTCTGACACATAATCTTGACCTTAGCTCCAGTTATTTAACATCCAGACAGAAGCAGTAAACAAATACAAGCAAGCCTGTGATACTTCTAATGATTAAATATTTAGTATTGGTATTGAATCATTTTTATTTCTTATAGAGGACTCTCACTAATTTTCTAAACACATGAGAGGCTCATAAACTGGCCTGGATTTTGGGGCAAACATACAAGACTTCCATACTGTGCAGGTGTGTGTGGTTTTTAAATTGTTAATATGATTCAGTGTAGTGGGTTTTTTTGTTTGTTAGTTTTTGGTTTTGCTTTGTTTTTTGTTTGTTTGTTGTTTTGTGGTTTTTGTTTGTTTGTTTGTTTTTAATTCTATTCAGTGCAAGGAAATTAAGAGATCTAATTGCCAGTGCTTAGAAATTCATTCCTAACTTAAAGAAGAGATACTGTACGCCCAGAGAGATTATTCTGTTGTGTTTTTTTTGTTTGTTTGTTTGTTTGTTTTGGGGGCGGGAATTTTTGTATGAAATAAAAAGTTGAATTACTGCCTCAAGTTCAAAACAAAACCCCAGCATGATTGGAAGACAAATAATTAACACTGCATTTGGTGGCCATATGAAATCCATGCAATGATACACTGCTTCTCATAATGGACCAGGTAATAACAGGACTGGGGCTCCAACAGACAGCTTCCAACAGATTTTGTGATAAAGCTGAGAGCTTTTTATATGTATCTGGGAGAGATTCTCCCTTCCCTCTGGTACCAGCCATACATTTCCTAAATACCCCAAGAGTACAGGCTGCAGATTCAACTTACCCTGAGCTTTGCATTTCTCAGCTATTGTCAATTTGCATCACAAGCATAAAGTTATCTAATGTACAAAAGCTTTAATGCTCCTTCCACATCATATAACAACACATGTTTATCTGAGTGCTAAATAAAAGCTTTCAGAACTTTAAAGTGACTTTATGAATTGTATGTACCATAAAATAAACATTAGAGTATAATAATATTCTATAATTTGGAAAACAGCAACAAAAACAGTAGAAGACAAAAGAACAAATGCCTGAATCATCTGCTGCATGTCAGAAACATTAAATTAATTTATGCAATAATGTAAGCACAGTGATGTTAAGGTAATATGAAGGACATAAATTATACATTATTATTGTCAGTTCTAGCACTTATCCTTGTGGTATGTCAAAATAAATCCTGATATGTTAATATTTATAGAAATGAACAACAAGTGTTACAGCTCAGGGATTCATCTGTGATATTTTTATATATAATTTGCATTTGCACATATGGTCGTCATTGTCTTTTCTGTAATTTGAGAGGTAAGCATCATGCAATTCATTTCTAATGCATTTTACATTACCATGAAAGCACATTATGCTTCCTCCACTAACGCTTTTCAAATAGATGGCCTGCAATGATTTAGAGATTGCACAAAACGACTCAGCAAATGGTTGACAATTTACCTGCAAAATCGGCAGTAACAATAGGTTACTGGTGAGTGAAGTACATACTTTGCTAGGGACAGATTTTCTCCACAGAGTAAGTACATGCAGAAGTTCCCGCAGTGACGTGTTTCTTGAGGATTAACACCCCCAGAGAATATACATTTTCATTCTTTACATTTTCACAAGGGAAGGAAAGGGAATAATTCATCCTCCTTCCCCTAAAAACTAAGGATTTACCTCCTTTTACCATCCCTGTTTTCATACAAAAAAACAGTTTCTGGCTGAAGGTAACTGAATGTGACTTGACTTAGTATTTGAAGCTGATGGGAGCAATTTCCAGAAAAGCAATTCAAGAGAGGGTTCCCCCAAAGGATTAAGTACACTCAGAGCTGCTGCTACCTCAGAAGCAAGAGGCAGACATTCTTCCTTCAACAAGAGACCATAATTTCTCCCCTGAGTAAGGGTGGGTTTGGGATTTTGGCCTTGGGCCATGTCTTCTGGGGCCTGGGAACCATGCTTTGGATAAAAAGGTAGCTACAGAGTTTATATATTGCTGAGTCTACAAGTAAGGCTACTGTTTCTAATTACCCAAAATCATATTGTTTTTTTCCAGAAAAGAAGTGTGAAAATACTTATACTCCCTGAGTCAGCAGTAAAAGACAACCTAAGCCTTACATTTGTGTTCTGCTTATGGAAGGACTGCCATGTCAAAATGATTTGGCTGTGTCTGATGATCCTTTTCCAACTGTCTTGTTCACAGCTGAAGTTTGTTGCCCCCAAGTTCATCTGTCAGGATTTCCAGTGTGGAAGAATCTAAGTTCAAATTTTTGTATCTTTATTAATGCAGATGCCTTTTTTTTTTTTTTTCCCAAAAAACTCAGCAGCCCTCACTAATACCAACTTTTACCTTTGTCACATTTTCTGGAAGGGCTCATCTGGAAAATAGCTTCATAACTTTTGGTTTCTCCCCCAAAGTATTTCTGGGTTTGCTCGTATGTCTACAAAAATCAACCTAAATATTGTGCTACAAAACACAGTGAAACTCCATTTAGAATTGCATAAGCATACAAGGAGTTGCAAGAGAACACACAGGGAATTATCACAGAGCAGTTTCTGATCAGCATACTCTAAAATCAGCCTAACACTTGTAAGAAAAGGGGCTGCACCGGCAAAAATTGACAGTTTATATAGTTCTGTAAGCCCTTTGTCAGATGTGACAACATGGAACAAAAATCCTACTTGATTTCATATTTCAACAAGGGGGGAAAAAAACAAACAAACAAACAAAACAACCAAAAAAAAAAAACCACCAACCCAACAGCCACATTTTAATAGAATCCGTGTACAATTCTGTAGAGTGAAGAATGGCACAAGGGAATACAATCTCTTCACAGAGCAAAGGCATACTTGAAAGAATTCCATACCAGTACAAGCAGCAAACCATATATATATAAAGTATATATGTGTTTATATATATATATGTATATAAAAGTAAAACATAGTATGTGGGTCTGATTTATCACTTGCCTTTTGTTTATAACTTTCTATGCTTCACAGAAGTATAGGATTCTCTTCCATCATTGAAATGAAACTGCTGTCATCGCTGCAGTGAAATGAAATACTATAAAAGGCTGCTTGAACGTTCTGGGAACAAAGAGGAAATAGCCTTGGTGTAAGTTCGGAAAAAGCTTCTAAGCATGCAACTTTACAACAGCGTTTAGTCCCTTTGGAATAGGTCTTCAGCTACCATAAATGTTATCACTTCCCTGAAATCAGTGGAAAAATAGCAATTGATATCAACTACAGATTTGTTCTACCGACTTCAAAGGACCTACTTACACTGCACACATTTAAAGCAAGTGTATAAATCTTTCCAACACTGGGGACTTTAATGCAAGCACACCAAATCCTGATGTCCTTACTTAATATTTTACACTATTCTTCTTTAGAAATCTCTCTTTGGAATCAATCAGGACAAGTACTGAACATAGTACTACAAGGTGTTTTCAGACCGCAATGATACATCTGAGAGTCTGACATGTCAAGGCTGTTGGGAAATACTCCTTAGCCAAATAAAGTTTTTAGTTTCATGTACATTTGTATTCTGGAACTGAAAAC